ACATGCACACACACTTTTACACAATCTTTTACACCTCTCTCACATGGAGGGGGGTCCACGATTATTTTATTATGTGTGGGCCCCCTTCCATGTGAGAGAGGTGTAAAAGATTGTGTAAAAAATTGTGTACACTTAGCATTATTCAAGAGATTAACATATTTAAAGGACCCAAGACGCATAGCTCTGGATCTAAGATAAAATGGATAGATTAATAGTCGAAGATTTTCAAGATCAAGATGAATTGTGTAACATAAGCAATATTGCAACTTGAATAAAAGCACATGTTTGTGTCGGTCAATGAATTCAAGAAGATGAAGGCGTCCTTCTGATTACGATGTAGAATTGTAATTATATTTTAATTTTTAAATGTTATTTTGTTTCGAGTTTGGATAAAGTAGGATAATTTTTACAAATTTATAATTTTTTAAATTACATTTTTCTTACAAATTTGCTTCTACTTTACACTTCTAGTAGTAAAAGTGCAATTATTGGCAAAAAAAAATGAGTGTTGACTCGCAAATCAGTCCGGCCTGTCCCATTAAGGGGGCGAGCTCGTGGAGCGAGCTAAGCCCAAGATCCTTGAGACGAGGTGGCTCGCTCCATTTAACACACATATTAGTGGTGGTCTGGTTTTGCAATGGGTTTTGTTTGATTTGCACGTGTAGATGCGATGGTTTCTTGAGGAGCTGGAGAAGAAACTTGCACCTTTCATCTATGTCGCATCACCTTTATCAGTATCCAATGAGATGGCGACGTAGCGGAGTAAATCAAAACCTAGGTATTTAGACGAGATATTATTGGAAGTAAACACATCTTAACATAATTTATTTGGGATTTTTAGGAAAGATTGGTCTATTTTTGTTGTCGACGAAGAGAAGCAATTTACATATTTGGTTTTTATTTTAGTTGTTATACTAGCTTCTGAGTTGTTGATGAGGGGAAGAAAAATGAGAAAGTGGGTCGACGATAAAATGAAAATTGGACGTGATTGGGATTCTTGATTTTTTTGGCAATGGAGGGGATAACTGAGTCATGCTTCTGTGTTGCCGGTTGTAGTTTAACAATGAATGTTATAAGTGATGATGATTGTGACTGTGGTATAACAGTCAATGTTACAAGTGGCTGCGGTTAAGCGATGGTGGTGTAACACTAAATGTTGCAAGTGGAATTGAAAAAAGACAATAAAATCTATACAACACACCGTGTTGTAAATTGTGGTGACGATGACGATGGTAATTGCTACATTGGAAATGGGTGATAAAATGCATCAAACATAATATAATGTAATATAACACGTTGAGTTACAAAAATAATTTTAAAATAAAAAATAAAAATACATTTTAATAATAAAGAAAAAGTTCAAAAGTAAGTGAAGAATTAGTAAACTTTTAAAGAATATTTTTGAATGGTACTCTCGTTATTTATTTTAAGTAATACTATTTATTATCATAATAAAAAAATATCGATAATGTGGCAAACAATTATCTTTCACAATTCTCACTCTCTTCTACCACTCTCTTTCATAAAAATTGAGCTGTCCAATCATATTATTCCACATAGATTGTCACATCTCCGATATTTCATCATCATAATGATAAAATAATATTATTCATTTATTTAGAGGTACTGTTATTTACCTCAGAGAACAATACATAACTCCTACATATAAAAATCACATTTCAAAACTAACTCCATAAAATATTTCATAAATCAGGGTAAATTAAATTATTAAATATGTAATTATAATATAATATACATTTATTATCTCTATATATCAATTGACATGCTATATCAATTAACATATTGATATTATAATCCCCACCCCACCCCACCCCACCCCACCCACCCCACTCCAACCCAACCCAACCTAGAAATGTCCCGAAATTCAAATCTCTCTTCACTCTCACCCCAACCGACTCAACCCCCACCCCACCTCACTTTAGATAACTCCAAAAAATTAAAATATTTTTCTCTCTTTAGAAGCGCTCCCTCTCTCTCTCTCTCTCTATACACATTTACAAAAACAAATAATTTTTCAGGCGATGGTGGTGGTGATGAGGTGACACTATGTTTAGAAATTAGATCTGCGTGATGGCAGTGATAGTGCATTGCAGGTGATAAAAGTGCATCGGAGTTTATCTGTTTAATGGTGGTGGTAGGAGTGGTAACAACGTTTTGAATACTACGTGGTAGTCGTAGTGTTGCATTATAGTTGACGAGATTTGTGACTGTGTTATATGTGAGTAAATTTATTGTTTATGACCGTACTTGTTTTATTTGTAACTGACTGTAACCAGACCATTTGTGATCAAGTCAGTCTAATTTGTGAATGTATGTAACCAAGTCAATGACATGTTATTTGTGACTAATTGCGCCAAATTTGTATTGAATGTGACTATCTATAATCAAATCAGTCTAATTTGTGACTTACTATTAATATGGTTACAGACGGCCACAATGAAGTCAGAATTAATCACACTCCATGACAATAAACATATAATTGGTCACAAAGGGTCACCACAAACAAATCTGCACACACTAAAGACCAACAACACAATTCACAACCACTCACCACAACCACTACCACTTCAACTCAAGTTTACCTTCATTGTGACTGTATGTGACTAAGTTTACATAAAGTCACACTTAAGACAAAAATTACAATGAAGACAAACTTAGTCATGATCAGTCACAATTAGCACAGACTGGTCACAGAGGGTCACCACAAATAAATTCGCACACACCGTAGACCAGCACCACAACACATTACCATCCCAACCTAAACCAGTAAGCCAAATAGGCCTAAAGTACGATCAGTATCTGGGTTGATAGATTGAACAAGAAACTTTCCCACCTCCAATCCACCACACCATCTGCACCTCAATTCATAACCACCACCACATATACTACACCACCACCGCCACCAATCGCAACCCATGATCACAACCTACACAACAAACCACCATTATTAAAATCTGAGATGTACCACCACCATCACCTTCTACAATGCACCATTGCCACAACCAACGGCAACCACTAGTTTTCACAACATCCCCCACTCCCACCATCTCCGGCACCATAGAGAGAGAGACTTAAAAAAGGGCTACATTACAGCCCCTCTCTAACAACTATGTACCGCCACCACTGTACCTACAGTAGCATCTCGTAGCACCACTTCCTCCATCTCCACGTGTAACTCGAACCTTATCGCATCTGGAGAAGACAGTAGGAAGAAGATGGTGGTTGGAGAAAGACGATGGTTGAGAGAAGATGGTGGTCGGAAGAAAAAAACGACCATATCTATAGAGAGATAAAGTGTTGTCGTATGGAAAGAAATATTATTTTTATTTATTTATTATTATTCTTTTGAAGGAAAAGAATTGAAAGAACGGAAAAGAGGACACATCTTGAATGAAGATATTTACTTTGGGTGGGTAAATGTGTGGGTGTGGGTGTGGGGGAGCATCTAATGAATAGAAATGAAAACAATGGAAAATGTCAATATAGGCCCTGTTTGAAAGGAATTAAATTTTTCTACAGTAAATCAATTCTCATTTTCAACCACACATTCTTCAATAAAATAATATTTTCCATCACATCAATAATTTTTTCTTCTTTTTCAACCACACATTTCCCATCATATCACTATTCAAAATCAATTCTTNTAGGCCCTGTTTGAAAGGAATTAAATTTTTCTACAGTAAATCAATTCTTATTTTCAACTACACATTCTTCAATAAAATAATATTTTTCATTACATCAATAATTTTTTCTTCTTTTTCAACTACAAATTTCCCATCATATCACTATTCAAAATCAATTCTTCCCCCAAAAAATTCTCCCAAACAAGTTCATAATATATATTTTATATATAATAATAATTTAATTAGTACCTAATTTTTGAATAAAATTTTTAGTAATCTATTTTTGATAGTAGAAAATGTTGAGTCCACATTTTCGTGTAATTTTCTCTTAACCTCAAATCTGAATTTTTTTGGCATGACCTTTCTTGGTCCACATCCTGCTAGTTGGTGTTATCAATATAAACATGTTCACACTATAAAAGTTCCTTGCCGCCAACTTACTCTCTCTCGGTGAAATAAAAAAAGTTGTTTTTTTTTCTATTTCATCAAAATCAAATATCAATTTAATCACAAATAATTTATTGTTCATTTAATAACAACGAGTTTAGTAGGATCCAATGCTATTATTACTAACCTGACATTTTCTGCAAAACCTATCGACACAAATTCCCTTGTTTTTTTTTCTTCCTTATGTGAAAAAATACCCAACATTGTCACAACGAGCATAATATTTTCTACAATTCAGTAACATATGGCTGATTTTAAGGACAAAATCAAGCATAATCTTCTCACAAATGTTTTTGTGTTTCAAGTACAAATCATTAAAAACTCCCAACTCATTTGAAAGCCAAATCAACCAAACTATTTTAACAAAAACAAGTTTATTATCTCAAGAAAATATAATGTTTACATCTTACAACAAGATGGATCTTAATTTCAACCTTCACAAACTACATTTTATTTGATAATCCACCTTAAATTTAAGGAGAAAACACCGCAAAACAGAACAACAAACACAACTCCTTCAAATTTTAATCAACTTCCTCAATCTTAGGACCGGCTCCGCCACCAGTGTTACCGGAGCTGGCATTTCCGTAACCAGCTCCCGGCATGTCACTGCCCATAGGCATGTCTCCGGCACCACCCTGGTATATCTTAGCAATAATGGGATTACACAAATTTTCCAAATCCTTCAGCTTATCCTCAAATTCATCAACCTCAGCCAACTGATTCCTGTCCAACCATTCAACGGCCTCGTCAATAGCCTTCTCGATCTTCTGCTTATCCGAGGAATCCAATTTCCCTCCAATTTTCTCATCTTTTATAGTATTCTTCATATTATACGCGTAATTCTCCAGCGCATTCTTAGCCTCCACCTTCTTCTTCAAGGCCTCGTCTTCAGCCTTGTACTTCTCAGCTTCTTGTACCATTTTCTCAATCTCTTCCTTACTCAACCTTCCCTTATCATTCGTGATCGTGATCTTGTTCTTTACACCTGCGGTCTTGTCCTCAGCCGATACATTCAAAATCCCATTAGCATCAATGTCGAAACACACGTTGATCTGAGGCACACCCCTTGGCGCAGGAGGAATCCCCTTGAGCTCAAATTTCCCAAGAAGATTGTTGTCTTTAGTCATAGGCCTCTCTCCTTCATACACTTGAATTAGCACGCCAGGCTGATTATCGGAGTAAGTCGAGAAAACTTGCTCTTTCTTGGTCGGAATTGTGGTGTTTCTTGGAATCAAAACTGTCATTACACCTCCAGCAGTTTCAATTCCAAGACTGAGAGGTGTTACATCAAGAAGCAATAAATCTTGAACTTTTTCATTGCCTTCACCACTCAAAATTGCAGCCTGCACAGCAGCCCCATAAGCCACAGCCTCATCTGGATTAATACTCTTGCAAAGCTCCTTACCATTAAAGAAATCTTGCAAGAGTTGTTGCACCTTAGGAATCCTTGTTGATCCACCAACAAGAACAACATCATGAACCTGGCTCTTGTCAATCTTGGAATCCCTCAAGCATTTTTCCACAGGCTCCATACATTTCCTGAACAAATCCATGTTCAGCTCCTCAAATCTAGCCCTTGTAATCGTTGCATAGAAATCAATACCCTCGTACAATGAATCAATCTCAATTGTCGTCTGAGTAGTTGAAGAAAGTGTCCTCTTTGCCCTCTCGCAAGCCGTCCTTAGCCTCCTCAAAGCCCTGGCATTGCCACTGATATCCTTCTTGTGTTTCCTCTTGAACTCCATCACAAAATGGTTCACAAGCCTGTTGTCAAAATCTTCTCCTCCCAAATGCGTGTCTCCCGCGGTGGCTTTCACCTCGAAAATCCCTTCTTCAATAGTCAACAATGAAACATCAAAAGTCCCTCCACCAAGATCAAAGATCAACACATTCTTTTCACCAGTTCTTGAAGCTTTCTTGTCCAAACCATATGCAATTGCTGCCGCAGTCGGCTCGTTTATAATCCGCATCACATTGAGCCCAGCAATGGCACCAGCATCCTTCGTAGCTTGTCTCTGTGAATCATTGAAATAGGCAGGAACAGTAACCACAGCATTCTTTATAGTTTGCCCCAAGAAAGCCTCAGCAATTTCCTTCATTTTTGTCAAAACCATTGAAGAAATCTCCTCCGCCGAGAACTGTTTCTCCTCACCCTTGTACTGAACAACAACCATGGGCTTGTCACCAGGGCCTGGAATCACCTTAAACGGCCAGAGCTTCATGTCACTTTGAACAGAAGGGTCGGAGAATCTCCGTCCGATGAGGCGTTTGGCATCAAAAACGGTGTTTTGTGGGTTCAATGCAACCTGATTCTTGGCCGCATCGCCTATTAGCCTCTCAGTATCTGTGAAAGCAACATAAGATGGGGTTGTTCTGTTGCCTTGATCGTTGGGAATAATCTCCACTCGATCATTCTGCCACACACCAACACAACTGTATGTTGTGCCGAGATCAATACCAATGGCCTTGCCCTCAGTTTTCGCCATCAAAAGTTGATTTTTCTTAAACTAGAAACAAGATTTCTGAATTCTTGAATATGAAGAGTGATTTCTTGGATTGTTTGCGGAATGTGTGTTGAATGTGAAGAATCAGCATGGGGGTGCGATATATATATCTTGGGGGTGGAGGGCGGGTGCATCGCGGAGGTTCGAGAGAGAGAGATTGGGAAGAACCAGATTGTTCTTCGTTGGTTAGGCAAAAGGCCAACCAGAGAGTTCTGGAGAACGCGGGAGAATGCTCAAAGAGAAATTATTGAAAATACCCCAATCTTTTCAAAATACCCCTTTACCAT